GGATGGCATCCAGGGCCTTCATCCTGTACAAGTAGGAATAGCAGACTGCAAGGAAACAGACAGAGGCTTGGCTCAGTACAAGGCACTTCACAGGCGATGGGGGAGGAGGAGGAGGAGAAAGGTGGAGGAGGAGATTGGATTTATCCCCCGCCCTTCACTACCCAAGGGAGTCTCAGAGCGGCTTACAATCTCCTCTCCCTTCCCCTCCCCATAACAGGCACCATGGGAGGTAGGTGGGGCTGAGAGACCTCTTTCCAGAACTCTCCTCGAGGGAACAGCTCTGACACTATGGCTTGCCCAAGGTCATCCAGCAGCTGCAAGTGGAGGAGTGGGGAATCAAACCCGGTTCTCCCAGATTAGAGTCCGCGCACTTAATCACTACACCAAAGAAGAGGTTGGATATATACCCCGCTCTTCACTACCCGAAGGAGTCTCAGAGCGACTTACAGACTCCCCCCGCCCCACAACAGACACCCTGGGAGGTAGGTGGGGCTGAGAGAGCTCTTTCCAGAACTCTCCTCGAGGGAACAGCTCTGACACTATGGCTTGCCCAAGGTCATCCAGCCGCTGCAAGTGGAGGAGGAGTGGGGAATCAAACCCGGTTCTCCCAGATCAGAGTCCGCGCACTTAACCATGACACCAGACTGGCTTATGCCCTCCCCACCACCACTACCGCAACCCTGGCTGCTGAAGGATGTGAGATACGGTACAGGGACTCCTGGGCGTCTCCAGCTGATGGAGCCGGACGTCGTCTTGGGACAAGAGCTGGGGCTCGTATTTGATGTCCTGGACCCTGGACAGCCGGATGTCGGTCTCTTCTTTCAAGCTCTGGAGGGGGGGATGGAGAGAAAACAGAAACAAGTGTTGCTGTGAGCCAGGGTCTGGTAGAACTAAACTGGAGTCCACTGCCATCTTAAAGACTGACAACATTTTTGAGAGCATAAGTAGGGTGTAACTGGGAGACCCAACTTCAAATCCCCACCAGTGTCCCCTCTAAGATGAGTGAGTGTGAGCCTGCTCACAGTGTTTTAGTCTCCGGTTCACACATTTTTGTCTTCGCTCAGGAAGGACGGCTCCAGAGCAAACTAATTAACGCAGCTGCCAAATCGCTCGCTCACAACTTTAATGCCGGCAGCTCACAAAGTAGAATTTTTGCTCACAAGACCCCACAGCTTAGAGGGTGCACTGGCCCCCACTCTTCCAGTGGAGGAGACTGGATTTATACCCCGCTGTTCACTACCTGAAGGAGTCTCAGAGTGGCTTAGAATCCCCTTCCCCTCCCCACAACAGACACCCCTGTGAGATAGGTGGGGCTGAGAGAGCTCTTTGGAGGACTGCTCTTGAGAGAACAGCTTTGAGAGAACTTGTGACTGACCCAAGGTCACACCAGCAGCTGCATGTGGAGGAGTGGGGAATCAAACCTGGTTCTCCCAGATTAGAGTCCGCGCTCCTAACCACTACACCAAGCTAGCTAGCTGGGCAACCTTGGGGCAGTCACACTCTCTCTCAGCCTTACCCGCCTCATGGAGTTGTTGATGCTGTGAACCTGGGGTCCCTGGCCTTTCAGAGCCCGTGGGTACCCTTGGAATTCCAAACCAGCGTGGTGGGCACGGCCAGAGCCGGGTGCAAAGTGGCTGCCACAGCTTACCTTCACTCATGCAACGAAGACACTTGTGCCGCAGTGACAGCTGCTGCCAAAGCAACTTTTAAAAAAATCTCTCCTCTAGCAATCAAATCTCTAAGGGCCAATCAGGAGCGTTGCTGGGCAAAAGCCTCTCTGGCCCCGCCCACTTAAAAAATACTTGGCGGGCACCAGGGAAGGGGCTGGCGGGTGCCCCGATGCCCACAGACACCACGTTGGGCGACCGCTGCTCTGAAATAAGACTGGGGAGAGGAGCAGAATAATGTTGCAAGCTGCTTTGGGTTCCCACTGGGGAGAAAAGCAGGGTATAGCTATCCAAACGGATAAACAGCAGTGGAGCTCATAAGAACATAAGAGATGCCAATGTTGGATCAGGCCAAAGGCCCATCCAGTCCAACACTCTGTGTCACACAGTGGCCAGAAATACCAGTGCCATCAGGAGGTCCACCAGTGGGGCCAGGACACCCTGTGAGGCAGGTGGGGCGGAGAGGGCTCTTTCGAGGACTGTCCTTGAGAGAACAGCTCCGAGAAAACTTGTGACTGACCCAAGGTCACCCAGCTGGCTTCATGTGGAGGAGTGGGGAATCAAACCCGGTTCTCCGAGGTTAGAGTACGCGTTCCTAACCACTACACCAAACTGAGATCCTGGACAGTGACTGCCAGGCAGAAAACATGATACTGAGCTATTGCTTAATGGGATACGGCTGCTTCCGAGTCCACAGTTTTTGCACGGTGCTCGCAGCTCAGTGGAAAAGGACCTCTTTGACCAGCAGAAGGCCCCAAGTTTAACCCCCCCCAGTGAAAAAAAGGGTCTCAAATCAGGTGCTGGGAAAGTCCCCACCTCCTTTGGCTGAGTCCCTGGAAAATTGCTCCTTGGGTAGGCCAGTCGATTCGTCTTTATTCTGGGCCACAGGCCATCCAGAAGCAGAAAGACACTACCATGGTACTAATAATTGACAAAAAAAATCTCAAAATATAGAATTCATTCTTATAAATGTTAACAGTTTGAGAACCTAAGAAAAGCCCTGCTGGATCAGACCACTGAGGGTCCATCTAGGCCAGCATCCTGCCTCACACAGTGGCCTCAACCTGTTCCCCTGGAGGGCCAACGACAGGGCAGAGAGGCTGAGGCCTTCCCCTCACAAGAACGTCAGAAGAGCCCTGCTGGGTCAGACCAGTGAGGGTCCGTCCAGTCCAGCATCCTGTCTCACGCAGCGGCCATCCAGTTCCTCTGAAGGGCCAACAACAGGGCAGGGAGGCCGAGGCCTTCCCCTCACAAGAACGTCAGAAGAGCCCTGCTGGGTCAGACCAGTGAGGGTCCGTCCAGTCCAGCATCCTGTCTCACGCAGCGGCCATCCAGTTCCTCTGAAGGGCCAACAACAGGGCAGGGAGGCCGAGGCCTTCCCCTCACAAGAACGTCAGAAGAGCCCTGCTGGGTCAGACCAGTGAGGGTCCGTCCAGTCCAGCATCCTGTCTCACGCAGCGGCCATCCAGTTCCTCTGAAGGGCCAACAACAGGGCAGGGAGGCCGAGGCCTTCCCCTCACAAGAACGTCAGAAGAGCCCTGCTGGGTCAGACCAGTGAGGGTCCGTCCAGTCCAGCATCCTGTCTCACGCAGCGGCCATCCAGTTCCTCTGAAGGGCCAACAACAGGGCAGGGAGGCCGAGGCCTTCCCCTCACAAGAACGTCAGAAGAGCCCTGCTGGGTCAGACCAGTGAGGGTCCGTCCAGTCCAGCATCCTGTCTCACGCAGCGGCCATCCAGTTCCTCTGAAGGGCCAACAACAGGGCAGGGAGGCCGAGGCCTTCCCCTCACAAGAACGTCAGAAGAGCCCTGCTGGGTCAGACCAGTGAGGGTCCGTCCAGTCCAGCATCCTGTCTCACGCAGCGGCCATCCAGTTCCTCTGAAGGGCCAACAACAGGGCAGGGAGGCCGAGGCCTTCCCCTCACAAGAACGTCAGAAGAGCCCTGCTGGGTCAGACCAGTGAGGGTCCGTCCAGTCCAGCATCCTGTCTCACGCAGCGGCCATCCAGTTCCTCTGAAGGGCCAACAACAGGGCAGGGAGGCCGAGGCCTTCCCCTCACAAGAACGTCAGAAGAGCCCTGCTGGGTCAGACCAGTGAGGGTCCGTCCAGTCCAGCATCCTGTCTCACGCAGCGGCCATCCAGTTCCTCTGAAGGGCCAACAACAGGGCAGGGAGGCCGAGGCCTTCCCCTCACAAGAACGTCAGAAGAGCCCTGCTGGGTCAGACCAGTGAGGGTCCGTCCAGTCCAGCATCCTGTCTCACGCAGCGGCCATCCAGTTCCTCTGAAGGGCCAACAACAGGGCAGGGAGGCCGAGGCCTTCCCCTCACAAGAACGTCAGAAGAGCCCTGCTGGGTCAGACCAGTGAGGGTCCGTCCAGTCCAGCATCCTGTCTCACGCAGCGGCCATCCAGTTCCTCTGAAGGGCCAACAACAGGGCAGGGAGGCCGAGGCCTTCCCCTCACAAGAACGTCAGAAGAGCCCTGCTGGGTCAGACCAGTGAGGGTCCGTCCAGTCCAGCATCCTGTCTCACGCAGCGGCCATCCAGTTCCTCTGAAGGGCCAACAACAGGGCAGGGAGGCCGAGGCCTTCCCCTCACAAGAACGTCAGAAGAGCCCTGCTGGGTCAGACCAGTGAGGGTCCGTCCAGTCCAGCATCCTGTCTCACGCAGCGGCCATCCAGTTCCTCTGAAGGGCCAACAACAGGGCAGGGAGGCCGAGGCCTTCCCCTCACAAGAACGTCAGAAGAGCCCTGCTGGGTCAGACCAGTGAGGGTCCGTCCAGTCCAGCATCCTGTCTCACGCAGCGGCCATCCAGTTCCTCTGAAGGGCCAACAACAGGGCAGGGAGGCCGAGGCCTTCCCCTCATAAGAACACCAGAAGAGCCCCGGTGGACCAACCCAGTGGTCTATTTAGTCCAGCATCTCGTCTCACACAGTGGCCAACCAGTTCCTCTGGAGGGCCAACAGCAGGGCAGAGAGAGGCCGAGGCCTTCCCCTCATAAGAACCTAAGAAGAGTCCACCTGGATCAGACCTCTGGTCCATCTTGTTTAGTATCCTGTCCCACACATTGGTTTCAACCAGTTCCTCTGGAGGGCCAACAGCAGGGCAGAGAGAGGCCGAGGCCTTCCATTGACGTTGCCTCCCGGCTCTAGGATTCAGAGGCTCAGTGCCTCTGAATGTGGAGGTTCCCCTCAGTCCCCATGGCTAGTAGCCACTGATAGACTGGTCCTCCACGAATCTATCTAATCCCCCTTTCAAGCCGTTTATTCCTGTGGCCATCACTACGTCTTCTGGCAGCGAATCCCACATTTTAACCACTCTCCATGTAAAGTGATGTTTCCTTTTGTCCGTCCTGCTCAAAGCCAGAAGAAGATCACGTGACCACCATTTCCTAATCCTTCTTGGGCGAGGGGAGGGTTCATCCACCGCATTAGGCTGTTGCAAGGGTTAAAAAGAAGGAACAGAGAATGGCGTACATGGCTCTGAGCTCTCTGGAGGAACGATGGGATAAAGACGTAATTTGTTGGAACACAATAGCATGTACAGGTGCGTGGTGGGGAGGAGGTGTTTAAAGAAAACGTCTCTCTGGTGGTGCAAGATGCAGAGGAAACGATCAGAGGTGGATTCTGGAGAGACAAATGTATTTATTAAAGACTATTTATAGCCTGCCTTCTGCACTGAGACTCCAGAGGGATTGCAGGGTAAAGAAAGAGGGGGGGGGGATAGACTCAAGTCCAGCAGCAGTTCAGAGACCAGCCACATTTTCAGGATATGAGCTTGCGAAAGTACAAGCTCCCTTTGTAAAGCTTTTAAAAAACCACAATCAAACTGGATCCAGATGGCCAGCCCTGTGGGTCTGAAGCAGTAGATCAAATTTAAAGTCCAGTGAGGCACCGCACCTTTAAGACCAACAAAGGTTTATTCACGGTATGAGTTTTCGTGTGCCAGGCACACTTTTTTCAAATACATTTGGAATGGCAGATGAGGTTCTAAGGCTGCGGTCACACGGAGCATTAGCCACGCTGCAGAGACGGAAGATAGGCGGATTTTCCGGGCGCGATCACACCGCCACATCTCTCTGCCCTGTTGTTGGCCCTCCAGAGGAGCTGGCTGAGGCCCCTGTGTCAGACGGGATGCTGGACTAGATGGATCCTCACTGCTCTGACCCAGCAGGGCTCTTCTGATGTTCTTGTGAGGGGAAGGCCTCGGCCTCTCTGCCCTGTTGTTGGCCCTCCAGAGGAGCTGGTTGAGGCCCCTGTGTGAGGTGGGATGCTGGACTAGATGGACCCTCACTGGGCTGGTCCAGCAGGGCCCTTACGATATTCTCATGAGGGGAAGGCCTCGGCCTCTCTGCCCTGTTGTTGGCCGTCCAGAGGAACTGCTTGAGGCCCCTGTGTGAGACAGGATGCTGGACTAGAGGGACCCTCACTGGTCTGACCCAGCAGGGCTCTTATGATGTTCTTATGAGCGGAAGGCCGAGGCCTCTCTGTCCTGTTGCTAGCCCTCCAGAGGAACTGGTTGAGGCCACTGTGTGAGGCAGGATGCTGGACTAGATGGACCCTCACTGGTCTGACCCAGCAGGGCTCTTCTGATGTTCTCATGAGGGGAAGGCCTCGGCCTCTCTGCCCTGTTGTTGGCCCTCCAGAGGAGCTGGTAGAGGCCGCTGCGTGAGGCAGGAGGCTGGACTAGATGGACCACTGATCTCAAACGGCAGGGCTCTTCTTATGTTCTTATAGTGGCAGCTTGATTCCATCACCCAAATGGCTACAGGACTACTTCCTCCTAGACTTCAGCCTTATTAACAAGGGAGTGTCAGGTGCAAGCACCAGAACCTAACTCTGCGTGATGGCCAGGTGATACTCATACGGGGAAGCACCACCCAAGCAAGCTATATAGTACAGAAGGGGAAGAGGAAGACATGATGGTATAGTAGTTGAAGTGCCACACTAGGATCTTGGAGACCCAGGTTCGAATCCTCACTCTGCCATGGAAGATCACTGGCTGACCTTGGGCCAGTCACACACTTTCAGCCTCACCTACCTCACAGGATTGTTGTGAGGATAAAATGGAGGAGAGGAGAAGGATGCAAGCTGCTTGGGGGTCCCACTGGGGAGAAAGGCCGGGGTATAAATAAAGTAAAATAAAATAAAGACCTGGAGCTGCCAGGAACAGCCATTGCTGTAGGAAGCCCCCAGCGACCAAAGGGACGTAAGAACCTGTTTTTATATTGCCACTTATTCCCCCCCCCCGTAATTAAGGTACATTTATGTTGCCAGAGGACCTTGCGTCACTGATAGGGTTGCCAAGTCCATCTTCCACCTCCAGCGGGGGACTTTGGGGGCGTTCCTGGAGGGGGCGGGGCATCCCCGACGTGATGACGTCACGTTGGAGATGTCCGCCCCCCCCCACCCACCCATGCGCCAGATCTCCAGAAACGGCAGTTCCCTGCACTTAAAGGAGCCGGCGTTTCCCTTTTAAATGCAGGAGCCGGCGTTTCCCCTTTAAGAGCAGCCGCGTTTCCCTTTTAAGAACACGAAGCTGGCATTTCCCTGCAAGCTTGCGGAGATCAGGCTTGGGAGGAAACACGGGTTCCACACACTTAAAGGGAGAGCGATGGGTGGCTGTGGGTGTTGGGGGTAGAAACCCCCCCCCAAAACGGGGGACCCCTGGCAAAACGGGGGGGGGTGGCAACCCTAGTCACTGAGCTTCTTTGACCACCCAAGTCCATTAAAAGAGAAGAAGAGATTGGATTTATACCCCGGCCCTTCACTTGGGAGTCTCAGAGCAGCTCCTTCCCTTCCCGTCCCCACGACAGACACCCTGTGAGGTAGGTGGGACCGAGAGAGCTCTTTCGAGAACTGCTCATGAGAGAACTTGTGACCGACCCAAGGTCACACCAGCAGCTGCAAGTGGAAGAGTCGGGAAGCAAACCTGGTTCTCCCAGATTAGAGTCTGCGCTCTTAACCGCTACGCCAGTGCCTCAGGCAGAAACAGCCTCTGGTAGGTCAGGCTGAGAACATGCGACTGGCCTGCAGGCACACAGACAGCAAGACTCAGCTGAGATCAGAGCCTGAGTCTCCCCAGTCCGAGTCTGACCTGCTACGCAGAGCCACATTTTAATGAAACTCACTGCGTTCAGAATGGCTGCCCGTACGTGGCAACCGCTCCACCAGCTAGTTAAGAGAACATCAAACTTGAACTAAAACCATAGTTTGAAGTTGGCTTATTAATTACATGGAGATAGAGCAAGACGTGAAAGGTAAAGGTTCCCTTGCTCGAAAGCCAGTCAAGTCCGACTCTAGGGTTGCGGTGCTCATCTCCGTTTCCAAGCAGAAGAGCCAGCGCTGTCCGAAGACATTTCCGTGGTCATGTGGCCGGCATGACTAAACGCCAAGGCGCACGGAACGCTGTTACCTTCCCACCGAAGTGGTACCTATTTATCTACTTGCAATTTCTTGCTTTCGAACTGCTAGGTTGGCAGGAGCTGGAACCAGAGACGGGAGCTCACTCCGTCATGCGGCACACTCGGGTCTCGAACTGCTGAACTACTGACCTTCCACAGCCTGCAGTTCAGCGTCTTAACCACTTGAGCCACCGCAGCTCCAGTCTGTCTGTAGTATTAGATAAAAGCAAGAGTCCAGTAGGACCTTAAAGACTAACACAATTTGGGGCAGGGGATGAGCTTTTGTGAGTCACCGCTCACTGCTTCAGATAGTTTAATACCCGTAGAACCTGGTTACATAACCTCTGGCCTTTAACCACGCGTTGGATTGGGTTGCTTTCGATTCAACAGATACTAATGTTGCTCTTTCGGGTAGTAGAAAAGGACAATAGTCCCAAAGCACCTTAAAGACTAACACAATTTGTGGCCGGGTGTGAGCTTTCGTGAGTCACTGCTCACTTCTCCAGGCCCAGCTAGAACGTGAATCCATCTATCCTTATACCTTGGAGAGCGGACTGATTTCAGACGCTGTATCCGAAGGAGTGAGCAGTGACTCACAAAAGTTCACACTGGCCACAAATTTTTGTTAGTCTTTAAGGTGCTATTGGACTCTTGCTCTTTATTAATTAAAGGTAAAGGTTCCCTTGCTCGGAAGCCAGTCGAATCCGACTCTAGGGTTGCGGTGCTCGTCCCCGCTTCCAAGCTGAAGAGCCAGCGCTGTCCGAAGACGTTTCCGTGGTCATGTGGACGGCATGACTAAACACCAAGGCGCACGGAACGCTGTTACCTTCCCACCGAAGTGGTCCCTATTTATCTACTTGCAATTTCTTGCTTTCGAACTGCTAGGTTGGCAGGAGCTGGAACTAGAGACGGGAGCTCACTCCGTCATGCGGCAACCCGGGTCTTTAACTCCTGAAATACCGGCCTTCCACAGCCTGCAGTTCAGCGTCTTAACCACTTGAGCCACCGCAGCTCAATTACAGTTAGTCTAAATCATGATTCCACGTTATGCTAATATCCCGGCTTAATCACGGCTTGTTTTCAGGCTGTTGTACAGTCATAGAAACACCCAACCAGACCAAAGGCCGTAAATCCAGTTTCTGTGGAGACAAACCAGGATCTGAGTGATCACCTGCAAGGAGAATCCTGGTTTCATGAACTATCTCTCTACATTATAAAGCTGATTTGGGGTGGCATCTCTCCTATGGGGTGGCAGGACTCGATTCATGCCAAAATCAGTCGGGCCGCCTGAACTGCCACTCCAAAACTCTGCCAGTTGCTGGGTGGCTGCGTGGCCTCAGTCCCAACCACACGTGCAGTGGCCAGCATGTTGCCCTCAGTGCACACACCGCTGCCGAAGATGATGACCGCTCCGCGGCCAAGACACGTGGGACGCCGAGGACGACCACGGTAGTGCCGCGCTGGTCAGCCAGCCGCCCACGGTATCTCCCCCCGCCTTCTCAGGGCCCCGCGCCACCTTTCCCCATTTGCTGGCCACGGCAGCCAGGTGGGGAAAGACCTCCTGAGGCCCCCGCGCAACCTTTCTGAGGCCTCCGCGCCACCCTATTCACCTGATCCCCCCCCCCCGCCTGGCTTCTA